ATAACACAGTGTTTTGTCGCAAATATGTGAAATTGGTGCACAAATCCAAACTGCCATATACTAAATAAGTTACTTTCGTTACTTCGCCGGCTTTGATCCTTTCCAGTTGCAAGAGCATAAAATGGTTGGTTACACCCGAACTTACCCCTTTCTCACTTGTTATTTATTACCTATTACTTTATAAGACAATATGAATTTCCTAATTAATATATGTTTATTTTTCAGTATCAGTTTCATTCAATTGATGGTGGAGGATATTCAACAACTGCAACAAATAATGTAAGTGAAAATACTTAATAAATATATGTTGTAATAAAAACTGACATTAATATATGAAAACAAATAATATTATAATTTAAACTGTTAATTTACATTTATATTATTTATATTAATAAATAGCCATTAAGTTTAAAATAATTTATCAAAACGCTGTTTTGGTTATAAGTTTAATTCCATGTAAAAGTATCTAAGGCATTATTAACCTAAATATATATAATATTTCTTTACATTAAAAGAGATATATGTATGTATATATATACGATTCATGTTCCTAGTTCCTTCACTGAAATTTTTAATTATCTGCACAAAGTTTAATAAAGTGTTTCTAAACTAAACTAAGTCCCGTGCAAATATATTTTTATGGACCTATTAGCAAAAATCAATAACATATGTCTGAACTTATTAGTAATATTACTAATTATGGTATAGAAAAGTCCATAAATATTTAATATCATTCATATCAGTTTTAATATTAATCCTAATTATTGCTGTGTTAAATTTTCAGTATCAGTTACGTCCACATATTGGCAGAGAAGGATCGACAACCGAAACCAAAAATGTAAGTAAAACTTATGGACATATATAAAATAAAAAATGACAAGCAGTTTTTCAACGGCGCTAATTTACGGGGACTATCCCAGAGGCTTTAAAAAGGTATCGAAATATTTAATACTCAATACGATTTTAAAAATTCAAATTTTTACACCGATATCAACTAGCTTTTGGAAGTTTCAATACATTGTGCGTAAATAAATTTATGAAAAGGCCGTAACTGTTCAAGCCCCCATAAACTAACCATGTGGACTTAAGTGTCAATGGTTGACTGTTTACCGAAATTATTCTTCAATGTATAAGATATATTGTATAATTGGAATTTGGACAGAACTCTTTATTGATAAAACCATATCTGTATATCAAAAATGGATTAAATCGGGTCCATACTTCTCTTACCCCAATATACTTTATAGAAGATTTTCGAACTTCCGGCTGTGTTTATACCGCATATATGGGCAAATATATATATATATAGAGTTATCTTACAAAATTGAGCGGGCAAGTTTTTATTAATAACGATGCTTCTGTGAGCCTAAAATCGATTATATCGGCTGAAGGCTTGCCCTTACCCTACATAACTAATATCAGGATTTTCAAATATCCAGTTGACTTTACTTTTTATTCATTGGTGATCGTATGTGAGGTACCCACAGAGAAAGTCTTTTTCCGTAAATAATAAGTACTAATGCCAAAACTGTTTAAAATCGGGTCAATACTACTCCTATCTCCTATGGTTTTATACCGTATATATTGATCCAAGAGAAGATAGTATAGTGAAACTGACAAGGTATCCTTTCCAGTTGCATGAGATAAAAATGATTGGTTCACCCGAAATTAGCTCTTTCTTACTTGTTATTTATTACCTATAACTTTATGAGACAATATGGATTTCCTAATTAATGTATGTTTATTTTTCGGTATAAGTTTCACTCAATTGATGGGGGGGAACATTCCACAATTGCACCCAATAGTGTAAGTGAAAATACTAAATAAATATATGTAGCAATAAACTGACATTAATATAAGAAAACGAATAATAAATAATTTGAACGTTATGGACTAATTAAGTCCATTTAGTTATTATCATTCATATAAATTTTGATATTTATCCTAATTATTGCTGTGTTAAATTTTCAGTATCAGTTACGTCCACATAACGGCGCAGAAGATTCGACAACTGAAAACAAAAATGTAAGTAAAACTTAAGGAAATAGCGAAAAAGTTTACGCAAAATTCCTAATCATAATATAAAGTTTTAGAACTATACAAAAATTCATTCATTCTAGTATGCTCAACAAATCATAATAATGGACCTTTGCTACTTGCATTTTTTTAAAATATTATGATTATGATTTACAGTTAATAGCTTTGTTGATATCAGCTATATTCGATTCGCCATTTCTCGCTTCTTCTCTTCTCATTTGGAAAATAGTTATATGTAAACAACACCAAAGTTATCGAGCTGAATTACTTATCTAGAATATTTTTAAGAAATGGTGCACCTCCCATGCAGATGGAGCTTGATATGTTACCGATAACGGTGATGTCTCCATTGCATACTTTTAGGCGTATTTTCGCATATCTCAATCGGAAGAAATTAATTGAATAGCAGGCTGGGTGATTCAAAAAGAATAGTATTTAAGATACACTTTTTAATGTCAAATAAAACTATATGATAATAAAAATTTATTACTAATAAAATATTATTCAAGTTTCGGAGTCATAGTATTAGTAACATTATTAATATTTTTTTAAATAGGGGTAGGGGTCCTGTTGGAACAGTACCTCGTTTGACTTGAAAAATACAATTCAAGTTAGGTATTTCCGTCGTATTATCGATGGTAATAAATATCCACTTATTTGGCTGGCAATTTTAACATCGACTTCGCTGATAAAACATCAGAGCGGTTGACAACTTTTCTTTCCGAAAACTTTAATTTGAAAATGAATAATGATCCTCAAAAAGCCACAACAAAATAGGGGACCACCATTGCTGCGCTATTTGCCAATATATTAAGAGGATATCAAATCTTAAACTTATGTTTCTTATTTCCTACCTGAATACCCTATATGTATTGTAAGATACTAAAAATATTTTAAAAAATATTAACTTCTCATTTATTTAATTAAAGAAATACCAAGAGC